CTTAAATGGCCTCCTCAAAGTCCTGATCTCAACCCGATTGAGCACCTTTGGGCTGCAGTTGAGGTGGCGCTGCGAAACGCAATCCCCAACCTTCAAACATTCGCGAACTTGAGAAGGCAGTAAAAGAAGCGTGGAATGCGCTTCCGCAAAAAGTATATCGTGATTTAATACTATTACATACAACAAATACAAGCAATAGTCGACAAGCACTCCCAACAACGATCTAAATCAAATCAAACAAAAACAAAATCATGCCTTTATCTTCTGCGTTTTACTTCCAATGTTTCACACAGTCTGCGCCATAACCTCCGCTCTGACTCAACAAATGGACTCAATTATCAAAATTACGGTTATTTTCCTTGTTGTCACCAAGGTAAAGAGCTATGGAACCAATCCGAATGACGGTCCAGCTGGATCTAACTGTACGCGGTATTGAGAATCACAAACGCAATTCAACGCAAAATTCAATTTTCTTTTCCTTTTCTATATAACAATTACTGTATATCGTATCCCTCACGTTATTTATTCTTTGATACTCATGTACGCAGCAATTAAGTGTCGACCATAATAATAAAAGTCCTTTATTATTTTATCAAATCCATTGCTTCTAAAAATATCTCGCCTGAGATGGTTTACAAAATCTGTCAAGGAAGCTAGATTACTAATATCAAACTACTGTAAACGCGTAATAGTAACAACTTTTGTAGATAATTCCTTGTTTACTTTATCTTCAAAATAGTAAAACGTTCAGACATACTGAACGCACCAATAGTTAAGTACAGTGTATACAGTGTCTCAAACAAGAAACTGTATATTGAGTACGCGTTTTATCTATATGGGCAAATAGATCAATAGGTTTTTCTTCATATATAAGATTTGAAAAACTATACAGTACGTTTATACGTCATATAACACGCCGTTTGTGAGGAGAATTTCCAGGCATGCTCTCACGTACCACGTTAATAGTACGACTGACGTACTTATGTAAAGCATTTGGTAATAGAGTTCTAAACAATGTATAATAATAACGTTTAGCACAATTTGGATTCATCAACAAAATCGCAGTATATGTTATCGATCGAGCGCTAACTGCATCCTTTAATTCATACTGCATCTCCCACTTCCTCTCCCCTTCTTTCTTAAACCCTTAATATTTTATTCATATTCAGAGCTTTTATTATCTTGTGCTTCTTGCTCTGGTTCACATTCATATTCCACAATATGTCGAACACGTTGCGTACTCTCTAAAGTAACCAACCCGATGTGAGATGAGACATTTTTAATAAAATATCTATCGCAAATATTAATTAACAGTTTATATTGTTAAACGCATGGGTATTATAACGTTAGCTCCATTACTGCTCAATTAGCTCATCGTTTAGTCTAAGAATAGTAGTTTAATAACTTGAAAAAATACATCCTTTAAGTACGCGTTTTGGCTCATTTAAATCTACAGGACAAGATAAATTACTTTTCTTAATGGCCAAAGCAAGTGCAAATAGCATAGTCAAAAAATTAAGGGTCGACATTAGACGTGATTTTCTCAAGTCGACCAACTCTTTTTTTTTGTAGTCAAAGTACCATCTTTTTCAAGTTGTTATAGATAGTCCCATTGGAATTCGCGCCGCTTTGTGAATATCTTCCAAAAATGTAATATAATTTCTTGTTGGGGATTTTAGTTTGAGTTTGTCATTTTGTTGAAATTTTTTTAAAATGCGACTTTTAAAAGACATTAGTGCTATTTAATAGAAAATAAAGTGTCTATTTTTGTAATCAAAAGAAAAACAAGTTTACATTACATGATTTGGGAAAGTTAGGGCTTTTAAGTTTACGCAATTTTTTTGCCAATGATTACTTTACACACACAATGTTTATTTGTAATGGTGGTGTAAGTAAACCAGCATCTTGTTTCATAGATGTTTCATAAGAAATAGATCGATTTAATATGTACAGTTAACTCTGTTTATACCGGACGGGTTAGCATGGCTCTGTGTTCTTCCGGAACCGGTATATGGAAAGTAAACAAAGAATTTCATATGAAACAAACAAAATATCGAATACGATGGCGAATTTGGCCAAATGATATGTATCGAGTTAAGGTGGGAAGGGGGAACTAAACGAAGAGACGGAATTTTCTATTAATGACAATTTGACCGTCGTCTTCGTTGATGACGAAATTAAAGAACGGAGTCGAAGTACTACAAGTTCTTTCAAGTCGTAGAGCCGTTTAGGTTAGATTTAGCTTTTCTCCTGGTGGTTCCTGCCTACTCTATCGTGAAACTACCTTTTTAGTGTTTTAATGCATAGCACATTATTTCTTCTTATCACTAGACAGAGCTCGATTCTTTCTCTTCTGATCCGTCCGTTTGTCTTCCCATTTTGAAATAATAAAACTAGATTCTTAATCCTAGTTACATATCACCACTTGTTGGTCTTCAGTTCCATATGTTGATTAGACGTTCAAACTTGCAACCTCCGGATAGTCAATCAAAAGCGTCGGAGATTATGATGTTAATCTCGAGGGGAGGCATTAAATTGCTCCGGAAGATTTGGGGTTTAATGTTGCCGTGGGTAAAAAGATGGAACGAAACTTATCCGTGGGTAGTTTTCTGAGGCGTGTGAATGAGGAGATGGATTAACTAACGAATTTTTTACCCCAACAGTCTTCTTCAGTTCTGGCAGGGCATAATGCCCAGTATCTTAATCATCTTTGCTCAGTCTTTGAGCCTTTACGCGCTCGAAAATAAAAGACGGATACTCATAGAAATATATCCAAGTAAGCAATCATATAATTCTTGCATTTACGTAGATTATGCCATGAGCATGAAACATCCAGATATCATTGTTCAATGCGGTAATCCACGAATTAAAGAACAGCAGCATTTCTGTGAGGAAGTGGCCGCTGTAGGATCGTAATTGCAGGTAATGTCATAAAGTAAATATTGTATTCCTGAATCATGCAGAACAAGTTTGTCGTAGATCTTCTTTACATCGTCATTGTTGTCGTCGTCAGCACCATTAAAGTATTATTATTATTATAACCATCCTCCGATGCTTGTCTCGGTTAAATAACTCCCTGCTATTTATTACGTAAAAAGTATTAGCTTCTTTTAATGCAATCATATCGTATCAACTGACAAATTTACCATTTGCCTAGGTAGGTAAGCCATATTGTTATTTGCTTTAAAATATTGTCAAGTCGTTCGACTGAGAGAGGTTATTGAAATTTGCTAATAAATTATATTATTGCAGATCAGTAGTTGATAAATGGCACGTGAATTGAGGTGAAGAATTTACTGGAAATTTTGCACTTTGCCAATGGTGAGTATGAAATACGAGAAGACGAAACGTTTTTTTGGAAGCCTCTAAATTAAGGTTATTATGAAGAATTTTTATTACTTCATAGTATTTAAGATCATGGGCCGTTGTCCCAGCTCTCTATCCTGACTATTCCGAGAAGTTCTAAATCGACTCTAAATCCGGACTAAGAGGACTACTATCTCTTCAAGTCCTTGCGCTCATAAATGGGCATGATTCAATACTTCAAGATCTGGGCGTGATGATTAGGAATGGGTGACTTCTCGTATCAGAGACAGTGGACGAAAATTATGGTGTCCACGAACGCGAGACTATTAATAAGGAGTTGCGATTTATCAAAGATCCACTAATCCCTATATCGATTAAGAATAATCGCCTCCGCGATTATTCCTGTGGAAATGCGATAATTAATTGTTTTGTTGATGCGCATTATTATTATTATAATTGAATGCAATATTGAGAGTGCTTGAATGTTACATTAGTTTAAAGTCTGTGAGTGTAATGAAGCAAACAATCATTAAATAAACATACTTATCGAATCACGCGAAATCAATAAAATGCTAAATGCTCCACTGTAATCCCATTCTGATCCAGAAAATTATGTCAAACTGAAAATTTAATATATTTATATACTAGTATTTATGATTTTTTACCTTACTTTTAAAATGTAATAGCAACCAGGTAGCGACAATTTCTTAGTTTTTGATTAATGTCCTAGCGAAAAAGATAAAGTAGTTTTACGGCGGATTTGTGAGCCGCTCGAGTTCGATATCGTTGAGGTTGTTGTCAATAAATACACAATCTGAATGAAAAATAACTGGTGTGGCGACCGTAAGCATCCCTTGAAATGTCATGTCCTATTATGTTGTCTCTGACTATTGTGATACGGCGTAACGGCTAGTGCTGACTGCACCTGGCACTCCTCGTGTTTGCATACGACGCCCTCGCAGATCTTTCGTTTACTCGTGTCTATTTGTTGATGTGGGAGAATAATCGCGTCCGTTTGACAACTTTGGTCATGTGCCTTGGGCTCTTTGGAATAGAAGGAGTGAAAATCTGATGCTCTTGGTCTGTTGGCTCTGTTTTCGTCAAATTTTCATCTCTATCAAATATTTTCCTCTGATTGATGCAACTCTCTTCATTATCATCGTGGTCAAATGTTGATTCTGTTGCGGAATTATGATGCGTGTTATTATTATCGTGACTTTTACACTCTGAAATGTCCTTATTGTTAATGTGATATTCATACAAACGAAATTGGTTTTCAGTATCATTAGTATCATTGTTCATTTCGTGGATTGGATCTACATTTTCAGATGAGATATTCGGTTGGGTGAGTTGCTTTGAGATGTTCGTCGAGATCCATCCAATAATCCCATTTGAATTCGGCCGGTTTCAGAGACATTCCAGCTCTTATTACTGCAGGATAATTTATGAACTCTTTTCCATATGATATAAATGGCTCTTTGTTTGGATCAAAGATCCTCATATCTCTGTAAGGGTATTACGCTCAGCAAAGCCGCTAGACCATGCCTACTGTCTTTTTATGCAATTCAAACAACGCATTGCTCATATTATTCGTGTTACTAATACTCTTGTTCAATAACCCGATTGGTAATCAATTCAGTCAGCAGTCCTGGCATTGAAAACCCAAAACTTCTTAAGCACCAACTAGCCGCAATCTAACTTGGATGTTCACCAACTGCTCGATAACTGTATCCCCAATTGCGCGCTCGCAGCTCCTCCGAGATCAATAAATAATCCCGAAATTTCATCTACCGCATAACTTCATTATCTGGCCAGTATTCTCTCTGGACGCCAATGTTTCACTCTCATTCTAAAGCTTTTTTTGGGCAGCGACGAAAGTAGTTGGGTTGGATCATCTGCTGATGTTCATTGGATATATTTTAGATCATGTGTTGGAGGCTGGTGCATGATACAGGTCAAACCTGTTTAAACCGCCGCCTCAAGACTACACCAAACTTTCATTAATTAGAAACTTTCTCTAGTTGAACAATTTTTTGAACCGGTCCTTAGCTAAACCGGCCAAGAATCGGCAAACCAGGTCCGCCGGTTTAAACAGGTTTGACCTGTAACTTATATAGACGAGTAATTGCACGTGATTATATGTTGCGCGTGACGCTCATTAATGTCTTTTCCTACAAGAAAAACAAACCGGGGGTAATATCATGTGATATCAAAGATCATTCTCCATCGTAAAGAAAATTTTCTGATGAGTCCAGGTAAGGTAGTTGTGGTAGAAATAAAATTGCAAAAATTAACTGGAATTAATTGAAATTGGTAATACTAATATAGATTCTGGACTAGAATTTTTACCAGATAGTATAGAAACTTTGACTTGTGAGGTTATATCTGACGAATCTAACGAATAGTATTCAAGTCAGAACACTTAATTTGTCAGTAAAGAAAAAATTAGGGTCTTCGGCTAAGATTTCTTGGAAAGTGCTGATTACTAAATCTTTGAGATTGTTCTGTTGAAAAAAATAATCTCGGCGTTTACAATTACAATCAGCCTTTGTATCGCGATTGTCAAAAATGATGAGATCTGTGTTCGCTCAAAATGGTGAGTTGTCAAAAGGTATCTGTCGTATTAACATGGACATATCAAAATCGTTTATTAAGAAAGTCTTATATGACATACAAATCTCAAAAGTATTGATACAATAAATTATAGTTCGTATTCGAAATCAAGCCCTTTTTGGATTCTTCTTCAAATAAATCTAATTGATTGTTAAGCTCTTCATGTACGCGCAATGAAGTAACGTTATCCGTATACAAATTATTGTCGTGAACATATTCAACAGTTGGCTGCTGTTCAGGTTTTAATGTCATGGTATATTTCATTCATTCGATAATGCAGTCTCTGACGTCGGAGGAGACAATGGCGGTGACATAGGAAAGAGAAGTGTTGAAATAAGAAGCAGCATCACCAGAAAGGATATTCCTAGAGATTTGGCATTTTCGCTGTTGTGCATGGCATTTGCATGTCTGTCGTTCGTTTCTGCTGTTTTTGGCATTTGCGTTGTTGCCCGCAGCCTGTCTGTTTCCCACACGTTTTTCACTGTAAGGTTTAAAAAAATATCGTTTCTCTATAACAATCGATTGGTTCTTTTTACTTTTTCTTGGTTGAGATGGCGTATGCTTGTATTATCATTTACTGTCTTACTGTTGGTCGTAATTAGTTCTTCATAATCATCACGAGCTTGGGTGTATTTTTCCATTGCTTCGTATGAGATCGCCCGACAACGTAAAGCTTTTGCTTTGAGATTTATATCTATTCCAGGTAGGCGGATTATCATAATCGTCTATCTCCTATCAATTGCATTAATCATAACGCTGCCCTGTTGTTATATGCTATGTCCATATACAAGTAGAGTGATGGTAGTGATTCGATTGCCATTAGTGAGGGTGATCTTGAACGTGTAAGCGACTGTGGGGAAACATTTAGAGGACGTGTTCTGAGTCGTGCTGGATACGTAAGCTTGGTCAGAGGAAAGCGGACTGAGTTCTGTAGGTTTTGTGGGCTTTGGTTGGGGTGCACGCTTTGATTGTGTAGTGGATTGTCTAACAGGCTGTCCACGTCTTAAATTCTCACGAGTAGACTTAAATCTTCGTGACAAAGGTTTCTCATCCTCGCTGTTATCATCATCGTAGTTGTCTCGGAAGCTTCCAAATGCAGAATAGTTCTCGCTATTCTGCTCATCTGAATATCGATGCGTTGCAATGTCGTTTAACCAGTGCCTCTTGTTGAACCTTGTTAGCATTTTCCTTTGATGTCCGATAAAAAGCGCTAGCCTTTTTGGATGCGGTAAATCCTATTTCGCTTGCAGTCGATAGTACTTCCTCTAAATTGTCCAATCTATTATTACTTATTCGTTGGGTATAAATTGGGTATTCGTCGAAATTAGACTCCAACATCTCGCCAATTTTCCATACAGAGTTATTTGGAGAAGTCCATACATACTCCATCGTGTATCAGCTTCGATGGCATATAAGGAACGAGCGTGTTTGGAAAGAGCAACATGAGGATCCAGAAAAGGGTATTGGGGAAAGGTTCATCGAATCTCATCAGAAATGAAGAGTATATATCTGTGTTAATAAACAAAACGTACGTTAGTGTCAGTATATGCTAATTACAGCTCTCTTTTAAATTTTCTGCCACTTATACATGCATCAATCGTTCACAGTGTGATAACCACAACAGTCAACGACCCATAATTACCATAGCTACTCCCCCCATACAACTAATCGGATACGCTTTTAAATACCTTTTTCATGAGTATTATTATATTCATCCCATGTACCATAGATTAATAAATACTGTATGCTCATCGAGAATGTCTAACAGTATACGACAAGGGAAACCGCTTACGGTCAACGCACCCTCGGCGATAGGCTCTAAACTTTTGTTTTGTCTCTAATAGATGGCAGTTATGTTATTATTGGCAAAGAAAAAAAATTAAAGTCTGCAACCTACCCTTATGCTATTCATCTTATCTTCAGCATCGGATCTCGTGCTATGTACACTCCCTGCCAAAATTTTACGACCACCCCTGTCGATCAATTAGTAAAACTCTATCTACTGGTGAAGTGATAATATATGATTAAACATATGATTATATATGCGTAATATATATACCATCATTTCGGCTCATCACGGATCCAATACAACATCTTGCTTAAGTTTATGGGTATTTATTCAAAGACTACAATCAATTAGCTTCATAACAATTTGTTATTTGTTTAATAGATATTAATATGACCAGTAGATAGATTTTTCATATGTTTTACTAATTGATCGACAGGGGTGGTCGTAAAATTTTGGCAGGGGAGTGTACATTGAACAAGAAAGCGTTAATTGTCTGCTAAGGACACTATTTATTGGTAGAGGGATGATAATGTGATTCTATGTGAAAACAACTTTTAGTAAAGCGCAATCGAATAATGATAAATGTGCAACCGTCGTTAAGCTAGTAAAAGTTTATTCGTCGCGATATGCTGTCACGTAAGCAACCAAGAATTAGCTTTAATGCAATCTGCAATCTGCAATTTTCGTGTTCCGAGTTCCAACAATAGCAGATTTACGTTCAATTTCACAGGTAAAACTCGTAAACATTAACTCGGATGTTCATCCTCGGCAGTCATTCTCATATCTCCCTCATTACATGCATTTGAGCATCCGTGTCCGCTTTACTTTATCATCATATACTTCATTATAATACAAGAAATCCCTAGCTACTGAGCTACCATAGGATCTGTTATATCTGTGGTTTCTACCGAAGGAAAAATCCGTTTGATATATCCAGTTTATCCCAAGAATTTCGAAGGATTATTACTATATGCCCGCATACTTCTCCTCCTTGTCATTACCCACACTCACTATTGTCAGTCTGGCGAGTTTTCAATATCAATTCCTGACGTCATAGCTTTGAGAATCTTGTTTCACAAGTAGGTAAGAAATATCTTTAGAAAACTTTTCAGATGGATCATACCCTGAAGAAAGTCCATGCTTTCGAACAAGATTCAGACGTAAAGTTGAGACTCGCGTCCTGTATCAACAAGCACGTGTATAGTTGTTGCTTTATAGAAAAGAATATAACCTGGCAAATGAAGAATTCTGCAGAAAGACAGTGTACTCTGCGCTCTAAGATATAATATCAGAGGTACGTTAAGATCTTGAAGGAATAAGTACTCTAAACATGAAACATTGACAGACTGGACCATTCATATTGAATTGGGTCCATTCTGGGAAGATCAGATATTTTATAACCATCATACTTTAACATACAGTATACTCATCCACACGATCTCCAAAAGCTCTACAACTTGCCGTTTCATCGTCTGAGTGGATCAAAAGTCTCGGCACATCCTAAACGCAATTTTCCAACTGTAAGTGAGATGCCGTGATATTTTACAATTTCTATACTTGTATATTATATTGTGTTGCTCACGTGTATTTATCTTGTTTATTATCATCGAACCATTGAACGTCTTCCAAATAAAACAATGCTTCAGTTGATATCGTCAATTGCTCGCGTAAGCGCACTCAATGAGCTGAACGTGGATATGGCGTGCGTGTCTTGAAGAATGAATGTAATAAGGGAAGTTTGTGCAATATGTAGAATCCGATGGCTTGCCGGTGAAGAAGAAACGTCATGTATTAGGATGCCAGACAGGATATACAGAGTATATTCTAGAATTGGATACAACTGGTAACGTAAAACTAGCTTTCTGGTGATTCATTAACAGATTCTGACCATACCTCTGGCTTATTACCCGTAGAATTCCTTTGATCCGAGAGAATAGCCGATGTAGCCATATTCAATAGTCTTTATCGTGTATTCGGAGAGTTGGATAAAGACTCGGTCGGGCTATCTTTCTTGGCACGAAATGAAGAAAAACCAGTGAGGTTGGCTAACTCGGCGATCAGATATTTCCATTGTAGCGGCGGATGTAAAGTTTGAGGAGATATTGAAGGGGGAGAGGCATTTATTTCTTTTGTCTCGGATGTGCCATCTTGCCTTTTTCTCGAGTCGCCAGTCGTTGTTGAAGTAGAGAGGTATGTTTCGCTTTCTTGGTCGGATTTAATTGCTAGTTTCTCAATTTTCGCTGTGTCGTTCTTCGCCTCACTATCACCGGCATTGTTGTCATTCGTTTTTCTTTCATCTTCCTCCTGTACCTTCTCAACATCCCCATTTATCGTGTTCTCAACCTCCTCATTTTTTGTCTTCACGTTCTCTCCGACTCGGCGTTTTTATATCACCATCCCCGCTTCCCAAATGTTCTAAATCTCTCCCCAACCCATGTTCCGTAATGACTGACGCTTCTCTGACTTTCCTTCCGACTTCATTCCTCATAAAAGGATGATCCTCAGGATGAATTCCGATCGAAATCGTGAAATTAAATCTGCTGTCGACTTTACGCTCGCTGTATGCTCGCTGTACGCAGTGGCTGATTAGGTGATGCAGGAGATGGTGAATTAATAAGGGACTCCACTCGAGGAAGAATCGTCGGTTGAGGGGGAAACTGGTTAGACGAAGATATTGGAGGTGTCACTGGACTTGCATTGGTGATAGAATCTGATGTACTTGATTGCAAAGAGTCAAGTCTATCTTCAACTCAGTCTCAGCAGATGCAGGTTTGACATTAGACGACGGAAGTAGGACGTGCAGGAGGAATGATAGCGATTCCTCTGTGAAAGCGGGATTGACTGAGACGATAATTGCCCATTTGAAGTGAGTTGTTTTGAAGAAGCGGTAGACGAATAAGATTCGCGGGACGATTGATCTCCTAAGAGAGATGATTGTGACGCTTGTGATGCAGTGTTTATTTTTGAGGAATTTTTGGATAGAGATTCTGATTGTGCCTGCCATTAAAGATATGTTATTATTTGACCGAACGATAAAAGAGCAAGCAATCAAAAGGTAATAATTTCAAAAATCGAGGACGCTCATTCGTACCTGTATCAACGTCGTCATCTTTATTATTAGTATCAATTAAGTCATTTAATTCTTGGGGAGGAGGCATATTTTCTCCAGCAAATGGGGCCCATTCTTTCATTTTCGTGATATTTGGTTCGCATTTATTCATAAAAAACGCAAACTGTGCCTCAGCCAGGCGACACACTATCTGCGCTATCGTCGAATATGCTCGCTTTTCTCGTTGAGTAAGCTGAATTGTATATTTCTTACGTTTCTGGGCACCAAGTGACGTCAGCGTAGATATATACTTCTATATAAAGAATGCCATAAGTGAAGTAACAGGATGAGCAAAATCATTTTGGTGAATACGGTCTACTTACTTCATGTGATTCAACGGCAGCCTGTTATCCCTCTTTGTTTGTTTTTCATAGTCCTTGCCAGTTTTTTTTTTACTAGTTTGTCGAGATCGGCCACGCTGTTGTCATGAGCTCGCTCATCTTTCTTTTAAGAATTTCTAAGACATTCATATTTACAATTACACAGATCCATAAATGATACGCCACGAATTATTTCGGGGGTTGAATATTGCAGTATTACCGCACGAGGTTTTACACGGCACGATTTGATAATTTGAGAGTCGTGCTGGTAATCTTATTATGTGACGGTGATGCAGACTTTACTACTTATAGTAATAATAAAACCGTCGTTAGCTTCAGAATTCACGATTCTTCTTTCGGGGGTCGTACATTTTTGATGACGCAATTGACGTAACTGATTAATTTCGAGAGAACGCGTGGCCTCGTTGACAAAATGGTTTCGGTCAGTAGGCGCATTCTGCCCCGTTGCCACCATGTAATGACCTGGAGACATCTCTGGTGCGTTTCGACTTTGGCTTTTTGGGACTATGTTGTCCATCACTGGATAGTTTGTGCCGCACTAGTGTATCATTGAAGAAGATGGTATGATCAGTAGGCGCATTCTTTGAGATTCAGCCATTAACTGTATAAGAATTAGCAATTTATCCGAGTATTCAGGTGATAATAGCAATTAAAAAATTCTGAATTCAGTCAAAGGTATAGAGGATTTGTCAATAGGATGGGCTATGTAAAATCTATCCTAGGACGAGGAGTTGATGCGGATGGAAGAGGAAGAGACTCTGCTGGGCGACTGAAAAAGATGTGATAAAAACATGAACTAAATTACAAATAAAATATGCAATAGCAATTCCTAAAAAACATACATGCGAATTGTCATTTCGTTCGCTAATATGTTTATCATTCGTTCACCAAAGTTCGCCGTCTCAACGCTCGGTGGCCCTACAATCTGTATTTGCAATATGCAAAGCATTATTCGTAAAGCCCATATCTGAATGATAAACCTTTTATTACTGACCAGCACTGTAGCATTACGTTCAATTTCTGGGCGCAGTAACTCATTAAATGGAGAGAACGCGTCGTTCATCATTATCTATGCAAACAGTATGTGTTTTGAATTTTCTAGATTCAAAGATTTCAAGCTTACTTCTGACGATGAATGGTATTAGTATGAATATTGCCAGTTTTCTAACAGGCAGAGAAAAAAAAGGGTTTCTCGTGCTATATTACCACTTTTGTCATTTTGTGACATTTGTATGTTAAATAACGTGCTATCCTTATTTTTATCCACCGACGTTACAAATTCCAACCTCTAAAAGGTAACAGGAATGCGCTACCTGGATTAGATAACTGTCCCGAGACGCTCTGACTTCGAATAATCAAATTATTATCTGTCAAACTCGGATATACAGATTGTCTTAGTCATTAAATCATTCCGTAAGTGCTCTACGAAAAATAAAATAACATGTATTAATCTATGATATCCGCTCATACTTTTCCCAAAACATCATCTAACTCCTACCGCTTCCACTTTCAACATATCCATCAATTGCATTACTATTTTTCTTTCTCTTGTTCTTTTCTTCCTTTTTCTCTTCTTCTTCCCTACCCGATTTCGTTTGTACTCCTCACATTCCCTCCACCTCCATACTCGCCATGTCAAAATTCTCGATTCCCCAGTCGTTTTACGGTCATCGATCCATTCAAGAATTCGTCCGCACACACCACCCGAGGCCACGACATCCTTTAAACCCGCCCATTCGAAGATTATCACACTCAGCTATAAGACCGCAGCCTCGGAAATCAACGTCAGTGAAAGCAAGAGATAAGAGCTCGTTGGAGAAACCCGAATGGCAGGGGATATGAGATCCATTTCGGATCAAAGATGGAGAGGTGGAAGTGAGTAACGTGTCGTTGAGATTTGAGGAAGGTGAATAGAGAGGCATTCTCATCCCAATTCTGTTGCGTTGCGTACGTACGTACGCGCAGCATGTTTATGTCTACGTGAGTCTGTGTAAAGGTGTGAGGGGAGTGGAGGGGGGATGGGAATTGAGGAAAGAACGGGAAAAGAATCAGAAATATGCGTTTAACAGATCGGAAGCTCCAATAATGTTCTAGTCTCTAATATATAATTTTACATGTCTGGGGATTATAATGCGTAAATTTACGTTAATGCACAAACACCTCTCTCTCTTTCTTTTCCTCTTTTCACTTCATCCTCATACTCACCAACTCCCGGCAATTCCCTGCTAACCACAAGAACAATATTTCCTTATTAAATCCAGTCTCAATCTCCACTCTTTTCAGATTCTCTACCAATCCATCGTATTCTCTAACCGCCAGGATCATGTATTCATCGTCAAACTCAATGTCATATACATCTTATCCATCTGATGCGTTTATGACGTTGACAAAAAGTTTCGACATAATATAACCAATAGAATCAGGCGACGCGTTATATGATCAACACGTGTTAGTACATTCATCTACGACGAGTAAGTATTGTTAGGACAGTATAAGTAGTCGCTTTGAGAATATTCATTAAGATTGGATATAGAATTTGAATGGATGCTGACTATACCTCTCTGGTTTATAACAAGTAGGAAGCAGAGGATTTTTTTACTGAACGAGCGTCTGCTGCAGTATACGTATAAAATAACAAGATTGAGTAACACTCAACTGATAGGTATCATTCTTGTAACTTTTCTTCTTTTCTTTGGTCTCTTGAGTCTATATCATTCACTCAGGCGATTAATACCTCCCGATGCTGTAGGAATTGGCTCATCTGTTTTGGTAGTGAAACGGTACAATAAGGTGCTTGTGAGTATGCCCACTTCAATGTCATCGGGTCTGAAACATTTACGTAGTCTTATGTCACATTTGTCCACGTAGTTGGTTCAGTGGCTTTAGGGTGTTCAATTACATGGCTGTAAGCAACCGAAGATATGAACGCGACTCTGTAAGAATGATAATGTTCAAGTCTGTGATATGTATTTCTTTCTAATACAAAGTATTATATCTCAATCGAAGATGCAGGAACAGTAGCTTTGGCAAATGTTCTGGAATCAAATTCTTCCTTAATACCTCTAAATCTTCAAGAAAGTCAGAGAGGAGATGCAGGAGCAACAAAGGCTTTGGAATTAAATTCCTCTATGACATCTTTAAATCTAGATGACAATAAAATAGGAAATGCGATAGAATCCCTTCCGGGTTATTTTACTTAACCTTAATCTCTCGAATCGGACACTTGTAATGATGGGTTGTTTGAGCATATCATTTGGAGAATCATTCGAACACGGGATTTAAGTCGCGCCTATATGGAATGGAACATTAATGCAATTCATGATTGTACACGTCTGACACTGTATCTATTTTTTAATGATTACAGAACTGCAACGGCGAGTACTCTGAACACGCGACCTAATGGTATCCATCGTCGCTCGGTAATTAATAAGAAGTTACCAAATTCCCAACGATTAATATTAATACAAGTTGTACGTTAACGTACAATTCCGACTTTCCATCATCACAACGTTAGATTGTCAAGTTGCAGCGAAGCGCGTACTTAATCACATGTTTTGAAACATCCGGTTGGTCTGTCGATCTGAATTATATTATACAGACTGGTGGCTCACTGAATTTGTGTTTGGGCTTTGGCCGCATTAACGTCATGAACTCTCGGAATGGGGATCGCTCAGTAGGATGCAAAAACGTATTAGCATTCACGTACAAATAAAAGGCTACATGCAATCTAGTCTCTCTATATCCACTCTCCCTCTCCCTAAATATACACTCCCTAAATGCCATATTGTACAATAGATTTCATATAAAAAATAATTACGTAAATTTCACTATGACATTAATTATCAAAAATTACCAAACTTAGCATCAGGCCATAAAGTTAGCGCGATGAGGATACAGTATTTCAACCAATCATAATATAGACTCTTTCTTTATTACAATATTAATAGTCGCGCATTCTCAGTCCGAGGTGGTAGACTAGACAGTCCTGCCTTTCTCTATTTTCCCTCTCCCATATTCTTCACAGCATGATGTATTAGCC